TATCAATGGAACCATTAGGAGTTCAAAGACAAATTGTACACTCACCTCCAAGGACGGGCATCCATGCGGGCTTGAACGGATCCGCACCAGCAACAGCGTGCCACTTTCTTTGCTCATAGATGTAGAGAAACCGGGCTAGGCAGTAGCGAGTAGTCGGAGGCGGCTCCATTCCCCGCCATGCTATCCTGAAGGGCAGCAGTTGAGCATTTCCCAAAGTCACGCAGCGAAACACCTACTTAGTCCTACAGAACAACCAGTAGTGAGAGGGCGCAAACAAGCTGCCATTTGGCCATGATTAGGCGTGAGGCTGGCAGCGCGAGGCGGTCTGTGAAGTCGACGGCACCGGTAACAATATTATAAGTTCAGAAAAACAGGGTGCAAACAGCCAGTACCCCTCAACTGGAATTTGGGATCCACCTTAACCAGGTGCCATCCGGGCGTGACATGCCTGCACTTTTCTACGTTCCCACGTGCAGTCCAGTATACCGTATCCCACGTGTTTTACCTAAACTCGTGATTCATTTCCGCGGTAGGCCCAGTTGTGTGTGTCCACGTGCCCGACGCATTTAATTTCACGCGCAATTTCCGGACGGTACACACCCTGTTTTCCTGGACTAAATTTGTGCATCGGGTATCACTATCCTTCAACTTCTTTAGGGTGCAGAGAGTGGCACGCTACTGCAGCTGCGATCCCGTTCACCTCTTAAGCGGTAAGGATTACGATCCATGGAGTTGAGTGAACGGTTCGTTTCGAGGACAAGAAAATAGCTGCTAGTAAAACTATGGGTTATTTAAAGAAATGGGACCAGAAACGCATTTCCACGCGCGAAACACTGATCGCCCTCAAAGCGAGAGTGCGCCTTATACATGGGTGCCTCATGGCCCAGAAAATAAGGGGACTCGTGGGAAAATGGAAACGAACTCGCTGCTGTATAGACGCGTCACGTTTGTGAGAAAAGACCCCTGCTGCTCCCGGCGTACATATATTTTTCTAGGTAATGCACCGTATATCCAAATTTCGACGGGTGAAAACGGAGTCGAAGGTAGCACGAACATTGACGTTCTGCCTGGATCTCAGATAACGGTCTCCTGCAACGCTACTGGACTCCCACTGCCTTCAGTGAAATGGATTCGTGGCGGTACATATGAAATCGACCCAAGCACGGTAGGACTGAAATACTGAGAAGTTTACCAGATGATGAATCCTTTCTTCCAGGTTGATACCGCAACCTCACATGCACAGTTTTCGCTGCAAGTGGCTAATATCACAGAAGACACGACCTTCAACTGTGTAGCCCAGAACCCACTCGGGCACGCGAACTGGACCATCAATGTAAACCTACTGCCAGGTATCTCTTAATGTCTTTCTCTTCTTGAAATTTCTATTTTTTCTAACTCTTTTCATTTTGTTTAGGACTGGAACCGGAATGGAAGGATGACTTTGTCATTTCAAAAACTGAGAACGGTGAAGTTGTTCTTGCCTTCAGTGATAATCTGCCCGACTATCTTAAGCCGCCGGTAATTAAGTCCGATTATCGTTCGCAGAAACAGAAGAAATTGAATTTTTGATTTTTAGAGCGACTGGGTTATAAAATATACGGATGACCCCAATTTGCCGAAGGATGATTGGAAGACCATTCCATCAGACTC